AGAGACACACAGACACACAACACCTTTCTCTTTTTTGAGACAAGGTTTTCCTATGTACCTCAGGCTGGCCTCTAATTCACAACACCCCTCCTGCCTTAAGCTTGCAAGTGCTGGGACTATAGGTGGTAAACCACCATATCCAGCTTTAGTTCTGTTCTTACGAATGGGCAGAAAGATGGTTTCTGACGGTTTCTACTACAAATGCACCTCAACTCACCTTACACACACATCTTTTGTTAGATGTGGACAAAGATGTGGACACGCATCTTTGGGATAAGACCTGGGCTCCCGTGTGAATGTGTATGTAGCCCTGTTGGATATTGCCAGCATCCCCTAGAAGAGTTGTACTGCTTTGCACTCCTGACACAGAATCTACAAACTAGCCAGACCTCACAGTGAGTGTGAGTGGAGCACTGTGAACCCAGCCAGAGTCCCGGACCTGTCCCTTGGGATATAGCAGGAAGGCAGAAAGAGGGTGACTTCATGGATGCTGTTCCAGGTCATTTTCCCAAACTGTGAATGAAACTTTCCTAAATTTGTGTGTGAAACTTGGTAAGCCAGGAGAAAAGGACAGAGGCTGACACTTCAGCTTGAGAGAAGGCAGCATGTGAGTGAGCTGGTGGTGGGAGGGAGGGAGGGACCCAGGTCCCCTGCTCTCAGCCCCTTTCTCTCAGTTCTCCTCTCTCCCTGCTCCACACTGACCAACGACACTTCTCTGAGCAGAAGCCATTGGCTCTGACTCTAAGTAGGTCCATTCCTGTTTGTACATGTGCAAAGAAAATAAGTCAGTGGAACAAGGGCAGCTCATGGTAGGAAAAGAGGAGACAAAGGGATACTGGGAGAGGAAACAGTATAAGACATTCCACAGGGCTCTCCTGGACTCTAAGCCCAGGGCATGCTCATTTGTATGCCCTACGGAAGAGGGGAAACGATTTAGTCATTATGGAAAAACATCATGCAGGTTTCTCAAGACAGTAAAAACAGAGCTGGAGTTGAGCACTCACTTGGCATGCAAGAGGTCCTAGGTCCGATTCCCAGCACCACACAAACAGAATGAAAAATGGAAGTGCTATGTGATCCAGCAATCCCACTCCTAGGTATGTATGTGATAGAAATGAAATCAACACAGAGACATCTGCCTGGCTCTGTCTATTGCAGCCCTATTCAAAACAGGGACGAGATCAAAGCAACCCATGGGCCCATCAGCTGATGGACTGGCAAAGAAAATGCAGCCCTTATATACTATAGTGTTCAGCCAAGAAGGAATGGCAACCTGTCATTTGCAACAACTCAGAAGGAACTGGAGCCCCCCACCTCCCACCCCGTGTTGAGCAAAACCAGCCAGGCACAGCATGGTGAGACAGATACAGATGACCTCATGTGGAATATGGAAAAACTGATTTTACAGAGTTGAGATGGAATGGTGGTTGCCAGGCTGCAGGGGGTGGGGGTGGGGGATGAATACAGGATGATGGACACCTCCTAGCTGGAGTTAGGGAGGAGTAAATACGTTCTGCTGTTCTATCCGAATGATATGACTGGAGAAAATGATAGCGTGCTGTTCACTTCAAACAACCTGCAAGAAATCACCTCTGAATTTTTTTTAACTGCAAGGAAATGATAAATATTGTAAATTTGAATAGAACATTATATAGTAAATACATATATCGAATCATGGTATCTATAAATAAGTTCCATTCTGTGTCAATTTAAAACATTGAGTATATCATCTATTTTCGAGAGGGGAAAAAAGTGGAGAAATGCTGTTATCCCAGTAAGAAGGCACCTAGAGGTTCAGCCCATCCTCACTCCATCCTCTTCACCCCTACTTCTCTCTTGGCAAGGGGGATGCAAGGAGCAGGCAATGGACTGGGTGGGCAGCACCTCTGGGAGGCACTTGCAGGGAAGAAACACAGATGACCTGACCGATACCCTTCCAGGAAAGGGCAGGCTCAGGGTGGGGCCGTCACCTGTAAGGTAACATCAAGTATGCTTCCTGGGATCCTAGGCACCCCAAATAAACAAATCCCTCATCTCCTTTCAGAGTTTGGTAGATCTTAATGGGGGCTTGATGGGGTCCTGAGGCCCAGAACACTGAATAACGAGCCAAGGACCACAGGTCCCGAGAGGAGTCAACTTAATAGTCTCAGCTGGCAGTCTGAGCTGCTGACAAGTGTGGCTGGGGTAGTGCCAGCAGGGCAGCCTCGGTCCCCCTTCCTCTCCAGATCTTATAGAAATGCAATGTAAGGAAGGGCCCCTGCTATCCCTGCTCAGGGACCTCGCACTTCCCAGCAGCAAGCCTTGGGCAGATTCTGACTCTTCCAGTTGGGGGAGGAGGGGTGCTCACTTAGTACCCTCTTTCTGAATCTCTTCTGACATCAAAGACCATAGCTGTGTGACAAGTCTGACTCAGCCACTCCCTCCCACTGTCTTTGTGGTGAACAGGGTTCCCTGAGCAAGGAGAAGCTGTAGAACAGAAGGCAAACCAGAGGCCCCTTCCTGTACCTCCTCATACACTTGAGTGCTAATACTCCACCCCTCGGGACTAGCAAGATGGACCTGTAGATAAGGTCTCCTCCCTCAAAGCCTCTTCTGACCCGAGTGTGAGTCCTGGACCCACATGGTACAAGGAGAGAACACGTTGTCCTCTGACCTCCAGATGCATCCCCCCCCCCCCCCCGCCCCAGATATTTTTTAAGAAATTAAGCTGCTGTTCTCTTCTCACAGGTGTTGACTGAGTGCCTCCGAATGTCTCAGCACTGTGCTAGAAGCTGGGGATGTGAGGGGTGAGGCAAGCTAAGCTCCTTGGACTTGACCTTGGATCCAGGGACACAGAGATGGGAAATGGAAGGGGAAGCGAATGAGGCACAGGCAGGGACTGGAAGGCCAGAAGCCTCTGCTCCTTCTAAGCCTTTTCTCCTGGGTACTCAGACAGAGGGCAGAACCAGCCAGGAGGGTGGAGCCTGGCTGCTGACAGGATGACAACAGGGCGGGTCACAGAGGCAGCTAGAGGGGAGGGGGCCCAGACTCTGCTGCGGTATTCCCAGGCCCTCAGGTTGCACAGCTGGGAGAGGTGGGGGCACAGCTGGGCTGAAAAGCAGTCACCACAGCTGCCCAAAGAGGCAGGACTCAAGGCCATAGCGTGCTCTAAGCAGGCACCTCAGGCAGCAGCTATCCTTGTCTACCAGTATCTGCCCCCACAATTCCCTCCTCCCCTTCCTATAGAATAAGGACAGCAATTCTTCCTGGGGTCAAAATACAGGTAGGGCAGAGTGGCAGAGAGGCACAGTCTGAGCCATCATCAAACACTCCAAAAGAAGGCTTACTCTTGCGGCTTTCCTGGTTGTCCTTTAAACTCTCCTAGGGTCTTTCCCAGGATCTCAGCAAGGCTTTTTCTCGTAACCCAGATAGGTATAGCTAGCTTAGCTGGCCTGCCCAATACATAGGGTCCTCTTCTGAAATTCCCCTCTCCCCTAGGCCCCTTCCCATGTTGATAGCCTGGAACAACCCTGGTCTTCTCCCTTCCAGATAAGAAGGACCCAAAGCAAGGGGGCTTCAGGAAAGGGTCTCTAGTGACGGAGAGCTAGGATTAGGGGGAGCTCATGTGGGTGGAGGAGCAGGTGGATCTGAAGACTCTCTGCCAGACACCCAAACTGGAGGAGGAGATAAACGGCCTGCAGAATGGGGATTTGTTTTCCCTCCCTCTCAGCTTCCTCTCTTGGTATCACAGTGACTGCCTCTCCATCTGACAGGGAACCCACCTAATGCTGGCATGGGGTCTGGAAGGGATTGTGAGTCCTGCAGGAGTGTCCAGGAAGGAGGTGGTTCTAACCAGGGAGTGCTTGTCTCTGCTCCCAGGATTTATGTGTGCCGGAGTGGCTGTGTGTGTGTGTGTGTGTGTATGTGTGAGGGTCCTTCCATCTCTCCCACCCAGCTGGAAAGAATCAAGTGAGCACTCTTTCTGAGGTGGACCAGAGTGCAGAGCTCAACTCATCTCAGGGAAAGATGTCAAGTGGTCCCCGGGTCCAAGACAGAGTGAGAGGAAAGGGTAGGAGGCAACCCCAGCCTCAATGGTGACCTCTCAAGCGATCTGTTCAAGGACCATCTCAAGGGCCAGAGGCCGAAGCCAGCTGGCCCCACAGCCTGGGGCTTGAAACTGAAAACTTTCAAGTCCCTTCTCCTGCATTCCCTATAGACGCAGAGATGCGTGGGGCGGTGCCCTCAGAGACACTCATACAGTTGGTTCTGGACGCTTACACTCACTCAAACAACAGCAGTGCGAGGGAACTCCCAGCTTTTTCCACAGCTAATTATAGACGTCAAAGTCTGAGGATGTTTTGTAAGCCGCAGAGAGAAACTGCTGAGGTTTCTATGCAAAGCCAAAGAAATTTAATTTGTATACTCCCAGTTCCCACCCTCCAACTTCTCCTAGCCCGTCTCTACCTTATGGCCCCAGTGTGCCCCCTCCTTGGCCCTAAGGCCTTCCTTCCCGCTGAAGATTTATTTGTATCTATTCCCCGCCCCCCCGTCTCTTTTTCGGGCTTTCGAGAAAGGGAACAGACGCGGAAAATATTTTTTTCCGCAACAGTTTTCCATTCTGCGGCTGGTTCCCAAGCCAAGGGGGAGGGAGAGGGGGAGGGGGAGGGGGAGGGCAGGAACGGGGAGGGGGGAGGTCGGCTGGAATTTTTCTTGTTCCAAGAGCTTAATTTGGGTGCGAAAGAGTCAGTCCCTACGTCCCCTCCATCCCACGATCGAGAGGAAAATGCAAAAAAAATCACTTGTTTGATTATGTGATTCTTTCAGAACCCAGGATAGAAATATAGTGTTGAAGAAATCATTCTCTTTCTCCCTCCACACACACCTCTCTCTCCTATTCCGACATCCCTCCCCTCCCAGAATTTGCTAACATGAGGAAATTCGGGATCTTCGAGAAGCCATTGAGAGGACAGAAAGAAACAAAGTTTGCAAACCCCGAGTCAATTCATTCTCTGCAAGCCTACCTCTCTTTCTAGCAAAGATCCAGGTGTCTCCGAGCGGGACCGTCCCTCCGCGTATCCATGGACCGAATAGGGTGGGGTGACCACCCACCACTCTCCCCGGAGTGGCAAACCACCTAGTGATGCTGACTTCGCGCTCTGGCCTTTCGGCTACAGCTAGGGGGGTGGGGTGGGCTGGGTCTTCTTCCCCAACCCTTCACGCGAAGGACCTTCCCTGAAGAAAATGGGTGCAGGGAGCTGGGCGGGTGTCTGATTTCGCTGTCTTCGGAGGGATGGACCCCCAAGAAGTTCGTGCCCCCACGCCACCCCCAGCCTAGGACAGTCTCAACAGCAGAGCTGTCTTAAGAAAATGCTTGTCATGGCAACAGCTCCAGCCAACTCCGGCCAGACTGGGGCTCCCCAGCTCTCCCCCAGCAGAGCGGGAGGAGAAAGGGGCGGAGCGCGAACCAGCGGGGGTGGGGCTTGGCGAGAGGCCAGAGCATTGCTCAGCTCTTAAGGTGGCCCAAGTACGAGGCTCGGCAGGATGATGCTACTTGGTCGGGTCTTAAGGCGGAATGGGAAAGGCTAGGGGGAATCCTCTGTCTTCTTGGCTTTCCTCCTGCGCTGTTTCTTACTTGTTGACAGGAGCAGAGCAGGGGTGTGTGTGGGTGGAGGTGGGAGTGGATGTGGGCAGCGGTCTTCAACCGTTGCTGTGTGGAAGGGAAATACAGGAAGTGTCTGCAAGCCTTTCGGCTTCCTGCAGCTCCTCCAGGCTTCTCAATCTCTTACTGAATTAGACCCAGGACCCAGAAAACCTCAGGAAGCTGTGGGCACTTGCCCTACTGACCGTGTCTGAACTGGGAGGTCACTGGCAAAGACTATTGCTCAGGGTGCCTCCCACACCCTTTCACACACAGATCACCTCTCTCTCTCTCTCTCTCTCTCTCTCTCTCTCTCTCTCTCTCTCTCTCTCTCTCTCTCTCTCCTGTGTACCCAACCAAAGGCTTGTCCAAAGGGCACAGACCGGCTACTTGGCCTGTGTATTGGTTGCACATCCAAACTTTCACATCTACAATGTTGTTTCTAGTCCTCCTGACAATCTCAAAAGGTACTCGTTACTGTCCTCATTTCATGGTTGAGGAAACTAAAGATTGAGTGACTTGCCCAAGGTTATACATCTGGTTAATGACAGCTAGGATCCAAGGGCAAGTCAGACCCCTTCCAGAGCCCATGTGCTTTTCTCCCCCTGTAGCATACTATGTCACACATTTCCATCCTAGACTATATACACCGAGCCATCCACGCACACTTAGACATAGCCTATAAACTGTTAATCACACCCCCGTGCCACCCACCCACCAGCATTGTGCAACAGTATCACCCATAGCTTTTGCATGGAACCTTAAGCCTTTCAAGTCCAAACACGCACCATCAGCTGGCTCAGACCACGTATCTCCACTGACTGATACATTCCCACACCTACCCCGGCAGGCACACTCGCTCCTGTTTATATATGTGCTTATGAGAGGCAGGCTGACATAACCTCACAGGCTATAGTGAAGAAGAGGATTATCACAACTTCAAACCTACTCATAGAGCTTCAGAAAGACCCCCCCCGAGCTAAGCCAGGCACGGTGGAGTGCTCCTCCTAGCAGTCAGAAGACTGAGGCAGGAGGACTGGTAAGAGTTTGAGGCCAGCCTGGGCTACACAATAGATGCCAGGCCAGCTATAACTACAGAACAGACAAGATCATGTCACCAACAAGCAAGCAAACAAATACCCCAAAACAACTCCATATGTCACATCACACCTGTGCTTCTTTGTCCCTTCCTGCCCCAGGACACAGAAGCTTGTGTGCAGGGGGAAACGGGGGAAACAAAGCCACGAATAAGACCAGGAATCCTTCCCAACTTCCTGTTATTCCATCCCTCCTCCTCCTCCTCCTCCTCTCCTTCCTCCTCTTCCTCCTCCATCTTCTTTCTTTCTTTCTTTCTTTTAAATTCCTTTTGTTGTTGTTGTTGTTGTTTTTCGAGACAGGGTTTCTCTGTGTAGCCCTGGCTGTCCTGGAACTCACTCTGTAGACCAGGCTGGCCTCGAACTCAGAAATCCGCCTGCCTCTGCCTCCCGAGTGCTGGGATTAAAGGCGTGTGCCACCACTGCCCGGCCTTCTTGTTCTTCCTTAGCTTAATACTATTGACTTCATTTTGTCTGTTTTGTGTTTCGAGACCCATGTAGTCCAGGCTGGCCTCAAACTCACTATGTTCACTATGTAGCTGAGGCTGGCCTCCATCCTCCTGTCTGTACTGCCTAATTGCTGGGATCATACACACGTGTGGCCACATCTAACTGTTTCTCAGTAACTGATCTACATCCTACTTCTGAGCTAGGGAGAAGTTAAACAAGCACAACTGAAGGAATTTATTTGGAGCAGCTTGTCTCAAAACTCAGGAGTTCCTCTCTGTAGCCAAGATTATCTGCCACCTGTCTAATGTGGAAACAAGATCCCGAATAAGCCCCTGCCTGCAATGGTGTCTTTCCTTCTTAGCCAGGCCCAGTCACAAGCCCCACCCAGTGGCAAGGTAAGGAGAGATTTACTCTTTGGAAAGAAAGCAAGGATTACTTCCTAAGAGACCCTTCCTGGGATTTTAGCTCTTCCCTTTGAGGCACTTAGATGACACTAGAGATGACATTGCTAATGTGTCCCCACAGCCCCAACACCTCTGGTCTCTCTCCTGTCCCTAGGCATTTCACTGGAAGACAAGAGGGCACCTCTGCAGCAAGCCATACCAGAATGACAATGTTGGGAGCCCCTGTCAGTCATCAGTCATTGGGGTAGACATGGAAAGGAAAGGGAGGGGAGTCAGCCGGACAGACTCAGAGCTAATAGCTTGTCAGGCTCCTTGCCGGATGGCAGCAGTGTGACATTTTAGTGCCCAAGTGAGTGTCAGTTGTATCTTTATCATGAGAAAGCTGGTCTCTGAAATGGCTCTTTAAATGTATGAATGTATTCTTCCAGCTTTCGGCCATGGCAGAAGTGGAGGCATTGCCTAACTGTTTGGTAAACTTGTCTTGGGGGAATAGCAGCGTAGACCAGATGTGTGATCCTAGTAAAGGCTACTCGAGTACTTTGGCTGCCTGGCCTGCGGGGGGCCCTGGCGTTTCCTGCTCACATCTGTCTACAATGTGAAAAGCAAGATCGGCTCCTGAAGCTCCCTGGGCTGCAAGGCTGTGGGCACGGTGGTGGTGATGGGGTGGGGGGGGCGGGTCGTGGATAGGCAGAGAGGCTCTGCTATCCCACCCCAGGCTGTTCACTGATGTCTACAGGAGGTGTAGATCCTCTCTCTCTCTCTCTCTCTCTCTCTCTCTCTCTCTCTCTCTCTCTCTCTCTCTTATTTTTTAGATTTTTATTTATTTTTATATATGTGAGCACACTGCAGCTGTCTTCAGACACACAAGAAGAGGGCACCGGAGCCCATTACAGATGGTTGTTAGCCACCATGTGGTTGCTTGGAATTGAACTCAGGACCTCTGGAAGAGCACTCAGTGTGCTTAACCACTGAGCCATCTCTCCAGTCCCCTTTTTCTCTTAAAGTAGTGCTCTTTCTTGTCTGTGCTTGTGCTGAGAGAAGAGGATCCTCCTCCCTCCACCTCCTGCCTCCATCTCCAATCCATCCCACCCCACCCCACCCCATCCCACCCCTTTCCCACTTCTTTTCCAGGAGCTACTAGAGGAGAGAGACCACAGCCTGAATTCTATAACTGACACAGCCCCTGAAGGCTGTGTTTTCCAGAAACCTAGAAACCTTGGTGTCTGGTTTCTTCCAGCTACAGGTTTGAGGTCTAGAATGGGTAAAAATAAATCTATCCATAAAAATAGCCACTACGTGTGGGAAAGTAGAGTTGTCTCTCTGGGGGCAAGGGTGTGGCAGTGCTCTTGGTGTTCGTAGTCAGGCTGTCCTCATCCCTCAGCTGGAGAGAATGTAGCTCTCACCCTAGATGCTTCACAGAATGTTACTCTGCCTCTTGAGAGCTCAGTCTTGGGTTACCCAAGATCCCCCTCCTCTCCATCATTCCTCTGTGGCTCCCCTGAATGCAGACTGTATCATTCCTATTTGGGTATATTTGGTAACTATCCTCCCTACACAGGTTCTTCTTTTTTTAAAAAAGTCTATCTACAATCCATTACTCAGTTCTTTGTGTATCTGCGTGTGTGTATAATGAAAGAGCTGCTTGTGCACACAGGTACTCCAGGGTGCACACCTATGGACACATGCATAGGCCAAAGGAGGGTGTCTAGCATCTTTGCTCAGTCTCTGCCTAACTCCTCCAAGACAGGTTGTCTCTCTAAGCCTAGCTCTCAGATCTTTTGGCTAGGTTGGCAGCTGGCAAGCCTATTGATGCTATGTCTCCAGTAGGCTGGGGTTACAGGCCAATGCAAGACTATACTCAACATGGGTGCTGGGATGAGAACTCAGGTCCTCCTGTTCGTAGAGTAAGCGCTCTTAATCACAGCATCATCTCTCCAGCCTCCAAGGCTGCTTCAAGATGCTCTTTCTTCTCAATGTTAATGTGAGAACTGTCATCTCATCAGTGTCCTTGCCCCCCCCCCATGATCCAAGCTTAGCCAATTACATTCTCCCTTAAGATCTATAAAATTGTTTCTAAAATTACACTTGCTTGTGTGCATCTGAGTGGGCCCACGTATGCCACAGCGCAGGTGTGGAGATTTAAGGAAAATATAGGAATCAGTGTTCTCCCACTATCATGTGGATTTTGGGGATGAATTCAGGTGTCAGGCTTGGCAACAAGAGCCCTTACCTACTGAACCATTTTGCTGTCTCTTTTCCCTGAGATGCTTAAATGTAAGATGGAGGAGGGGGAATATGGTTCAATTTATCGGTGAACACAGCAAGTCACAAGACTCTGGAGGACACTTACCTATAGGAAAAGAAAAGGTCACATGAGAGGCTGAGAAGAAAGCTGTAGAGTAAGGGCTGGCCTCACCCCAGACCTCAGAAGTCAGAGGCTGGAGGATTGTGAGTTCAAGGCTAGCCTACAGTACAGGACAAACCAAAGTCAGCCAGAGCCATGGAAACCCCATCTCAAAAATAAACAAACCAAAACCCAACAAC